GCTTGTCTTGTTCGTTCAGTGATTTCATTAATTTCCTCTTGTCCAGGCTTTCGCAACTTGGATCATTCTCCGAAACCAATTCAACTGGTAGTAAATCTTTAGAATGACCCTGTCGAGCCGAAATATCATATTTCACTTTTCCGTCAGCACCCAACTGAACNCTCAAACGAATTTTAAATATTTCTAGTGCTGAATCTATTTTTTGCAAAAAAGTGGCGGGTGCAGTGTGGAAATAGAAACTGAAATATAGTAAATAGACTTAAAGAAAATTCGTGACTCTGTTTCATAATAGTTTTGCAAGTATTTATAAATTGTGTATAGAAACAAAATCCAAGCAAATTGGACTGTGGATGAAATGTAGAAGAAATTGTTTCACGAGCATCAAAAAATCTGATTATTATTCATTGGGTATATTCTGATTCAGAAATATTGTATCAATCAGTTCGCATTTTCACTGAAATTCTGCCTCCAGAGAATATTGAAAAAATATTCAAATTTCGCGATAGGAATCACAAACTGAAAGGACATACTTTCGCGGCTTCACACAGTCAGCAATTATTCAGAAGAACGTGGCATTGCGAATTTATTTATGTAAAATATTCTGTTCCTTAATATTTTTATTTCCGATTACTTCAATAAGGGTTATTGATTCTCTTGATAGAAACAACAGAAGTAAGGCAAGTCAATTCTTTGGAAGTGTTTTATGATATTTATTTTTCAATTGTCATGGAAGTTTTATGATGTGTGTGAAAGTAGTTTTCAAGCACTGGCTTGAATAAAAAAACCTTACACTTTATTTCCAATTTATTATATAGTATAGTTGTAGTATAGTTTTCTTGATATTTCCGGCAATAACGTCACAGTAGTTTTTATTGAAAACATACTTTCAATTCAGTTATTTATCTGTAACACAGCAATTTCATAAATCTTACTTCTTCTGTCAAAAAACCACATTTTCCATCAAAATACGAAATAATTTGTAATTAACCAACCGGTTATTTTCTAATTTCCTTATCTGAGACAAATTTTGAATTAATAAGGTTTAATTCACTTTAATATACACACCTGTCAAAGTTACGAATGAATGTACTTCAAAAATGTACTTCATAAGCACCTTTTAAAAATAGGAATCAGCTTTTCAATTCAAATGATGAAGCCTGTTTTTCAAATTTTCAAATTGTTCTTAAACTTGTAGTTTGTGTCAGTGCCAGGATATCCCAGTTTTATCATTCATTTTCACCTCAGGCATTCTGATGAGGTTCAGATAAGATTAGAATGATATCTCATTCCATCATAGTTCACTACTGTAACATTATGTCGTAAATCTGGCGCCCAATGTGGGGCGACGGACAGTGATAGTGGGTTTCAAAACTGACTTGCCAAAGGTGGAATGAACGACTATTTCATAGTGATCCCTTCTAATAAAAATATTTCACTTATTAAATTACCGTAATGCGATCACATTTCGCAAATTACAAGCTCATTATCAATGGATTGAGATTCATATAAGAATAAAATAATATCAGCTACCTATTGAAAAGGCGCAAGTTAAGATATTTTCAGAGAAAATGACGTATCTTTTCAACCACGATTCATCAGGAAACAATACGTTCACCATGATACTAATCGCCAAAGCGACATGAAAAATATTTAAATTTTTGTACTTACTATTGGATCGAATAAAAAAAAAAAACATTGAATATTTGAACCCTCAGATTTGGATGAGTTAAGAAGTAAGAGTTCAACACATAGACAGCTGGGTATATTGCTCAACAGGTGTTGCAGTATGCTTTAAAATTCGATAGCGAGCGCGTTATAAAAAATTATAAACTATGTCGCTGTATGACATAGTTCATAAGTTATAGTAAATAAGCGTTATTGTTCTCATTNTAGCAAATAGACTTAAAGAAAATTCGTGACTCTGTTTCATAATAGTTTTGCAAGTATTTATAAATTGTGTATAGAAACAAAATCCAAGCAAATTGGACTGTGGATGAAATGTAGAAGAAATTGTTTCACGAGCATCAAAAAATCTGATTATTATTCATTGGGTATATTCTGATTCAGAAATATTGTATCAATCAGTTCGCATTTTCACTGAAATTCTGCCTCCAGAGAATATTGAAAAAATATTCAAATTTCGCGATAGGAATCACAAACTGAAAGGACATACTTTCGCGCCTTCTCACAGTTAGCAATTATTCAGAAGAACGTGGCATTGCGAATTTATTTATGTAAAATATTCTGTTCCTTAATATTTTTATTTCCGATTACTTCAATAAGGGTTATTGATTCTCTTGATAGAAACAACAGAAGTAAGGCAAGTCAATTCTTTGGAAGTGTTTTATGATATTTATTTTTCAATTGTCATGGAAGTTTTATGATGTGTGTGAAAGTAGTTTTCAAGCACTGGCTTGAATAAAAAAACCTTACACTTTATTTCCAATTTATTATATAGTATAGTTGTAGTATAGTTTTCTTGATATTTCCGGCAATAACGTCACAGTAGTTTTTATTGAAAACATACTTTCAGTTGAGTTATTTATCTGTAACACAGCAATTTCAATGAAAAATCTTACTTCTTCTGTCAAAAAACCACATTTTCCATCAAAATACGAAATAATTGGTAATTAACCAACCGGTTATTTTCTAATTTCCTTATCTGAGACAAATTTTGAATTAATAAGGTTTAATTCACTTTAATATACACCTGTCAAAGTTACGAATGAATGTACTTCAAAAATGTACTTCATAAGCACCTTTTAAAAATAGGAATCAGCTTTTCAATTCGAATGATGAAGCCTGTTTTTCAAATTTTCAAATTGTTCTTAAACTTGTAGTTTGTGTCAGTGCCAGGATATCCCAGTTTTATCATTCATTTTCACCTCAGGAATTCTGATGAGGTTCAGATAAGATTAGAATGATATCCCATTCCATCATAGTTCACTACTGTAACATTATGTCGTAAATCTGGCGCCCAATGTGGGGCGACGGACAGTGATAGTGGGTTTCAAAACTGACTTGCCAAAGGTGGAATGAACGACTATTTCATAGTGATCCCTTCTAATAAAAATATTTCACTTATTAAATTACCGTAATGCGATCACATTTCGCAAATTACAAGCTCATTATCAATGGATTGAGATTCATATAAGAATGAAATAATATCAGCTACCTATTGAAAAGGCGCAAGTTAAGATATTTTCAGAGAAAATGACGTATCTTTTCAACCACGATTCATCAGGAAACAATACGTTCACCATGATACTAATCGCCAAAGCGACATGAAAAATATTTAAATTTTTGTACTTACTATTGGATCGAATAAAAAAAAAACATTGAATATTTGAACCCTCAGATTTGGATGAGTTAAGAAGTAAGAGTTCAACACATAGACAGCTGGGTATATTGCTCAACAGGTGTTGCAGTATATTATTTAAAATTCGATAGCGAGCGCGTTATAAAAAATTATAAACTATGTCGCTGTATGACATAGTTCATAAGTTATTTAAAATTCGATAGCGAGCGCGTTATAAAAAATTATAAACTATGTCGCTGTATGACATAGTTCATAAGGTCTAGTAAATAAGCGTTATTGTTCTCATTAGATGACAGCACAGACATAAATAATTAATTTGCAAAACTATAAGTAATTGGAAATGGAAATCACTAGCATCGTGAATGATGAATATACAAATGAGACAATCAATTTAAAAACAGTACGGACCTAGATTTAAGTACCCATGATCCGTCACAAAATATGCTTTTTTGACTTCAAGATGGCAAGCCCCGCCTATATTATTTCAATGAAATTCCTAATTCTAGTGCCAGTGTATCTTCAACCTTGAAGGTGATAAGTCAGACCTTTAAAGATGGCAGTTACCGCGAAACATTCAAAAATTCAAATTCAAATACAACAAGTGATAGTCTTACAATCCGGAACCAAGTGTCAATTTCTTCTTCGTTTCTGAAAGCACTTCAAAAAAGTCCAATTTTCTTGGTATGTATACCTGTTATCAAAGTTGAATTCGTATGGTTACGTTGTGTTTTGCAAGAATAAATAATGAAGTCAATGAGTACAGCAATAAGTTATATATCTGTCGTTTGGGTTGTACAAGCAATTGGACAATTCTGTTGAATTATATTATAGAACTACATTTACTTCCCACATTATCTTGGGAGAAATGAATAATTGTTATTTTTTTATTAAAAACCAAGGTTTCAGAAATTATTGACTGTATATATCTGTTCTTATTTTGAGACTCTTGGATTGAATGAGACTGTTTTATTTGAAAAAAGCCACTAGTATAAGATTGACTAACACATATCTAGATGAGTCTAGGTCTGCCAGAGAATTGTATGACTTGCTGGTCACTTTTTTGGGGACCTGCATTTTCTGCAATTGTTCTGTAAAAATCTTTGTCAACAACGATGACGTGATGAGACTAATTAAAGTGATATTAATTCTCTGGATCTATCGAGTTGGCTGAGAAACGAGTTTTCAATTTTTGAACATTAATGTGAATACGTAGAGTTTGAGAAAATTAGTATTTTCTATGAGTTTCAGAAATGCTTTGTGCAAGCATGATGGTGATAAAAATGATGTTTAAGGAAGTAAACTTTCCTGATAAGCATGAGTTATGCTATAAATGATCAATTGTTCACGCCTCTATATTACCAGCAACACAGTATAAATTGTTACAATAAAATAAAAATGAAAATCAGCAGTGAGTTTTTCTTCATATAACCCTCTGAACCTTTTTACAAAAACTGCACCGAGAAAAATACTCTAAGTAAACATGAACACCATTTTTGTCATGTTTTAGTTTGTCATCAGTAGTGTTGATGACACTTACTATTTTCCTAACTACTAGGTGAGTAGGGATTAATGACAAACAGTAATACAGTGGATCCGCAGTAATCCGGACCCTTTTGAAAAATCAAAAATGTTATAAGTAATCTCATTCTTGTATAGTCATGAGGACACATATTTATTACAGGTAAAAATTGCGGCAGCAAATCTTCCCTGTCAGTGGACTCGATCGACAGCCGAACCAGCCCTCAACTCAACCGCCGATCAAAGTCAATTCTAAAAAAATCCGACAGCAGCGGCAACCGATGCGCTGACCCCGAAAGCGAACGATTGATCTCCGACAACATATCCGGCTTCGAAGTTTGCTTCGGAAACGAATACTCGCCAAACAAGCGACTATCATCGCCTTTGACGAATCGAAGGGCAGCCAGCCAGAAAATCATCTCTAAAAACCTGCCTTCCTACCAGCAGGAGCTGGAGCGGACGCGGTTGCTCAAATCCCAGCTCTTTCTGCTGGATGACATCTACAGGGAAAAGCAGACTTGTAACGAGACACGAGTGGACTCGAACAAGATGAAGGTTTGTGGGGACGGTATCGGTGAAGTGCCACTTTATATTTGTCCACCACCACCTCCGATGGATACTTCGCCATCGGAAGATACCAGGCTGCTTCTTTGTTCAACTGTGGCTTCTTCGCCACCTAGGCAGCCGAATTACTCCATATCCAAGGGACACAATTCATCTTCGTAGCAGTTACAGGTGATTATGGACATTTTTTTGCTAAGGTGCATCCTGAGTTGATTTCATTTCACTCAATTCATAGGATTTAGTCAAATTGATGACTTTAACTCTGTTTAGTCTTACACGTTACATAAACTTGTAAATGGTGACTCAAAACAATGACTGTCGATTTCAGAACATTAATACACGTTATCATTTTTTTCATAAACTTTGTTTATGAAAAAGAATTGATACGCGCGAACTTTCCAAAAAAGAGACATAGCATAACATAGCTCCATGTTATGCTAAAAGGTTGGTTCCAAAAATTGATATCGGAAATAGCCAATTGATGAAAAATACATATTTTGGGTAAAAACAAAATAGGAAAAAGTGATTTGTGTATAATTCAATCTCCCTATGGAAGTAGTTGTTTCTAAAGTTTTTTTTTCGTGTAATTCAATGTTCATGTGGAAGTAGTTTTTTAGGGAAGGCTTTTTATTCCAACTTTTTCCTGAAAGTAACTTCTATGCTTGATTGCAGAGAGTTCATTTCGAACTCTATTGCATTTTTCCTTCCTTTGGAAGTTTTCTACAATTTTTTGTATGAAGATGGAGAAGTGAAATCCAAAAAGTTTTTAACAATTTTATTTTTGGTTGTTTGAATATATTTTCAGGTCATATTCATTCATTCGCTTCACACATTGACGTTCCCATTTTTTTATACTGATGTTTGAATCATTTTTGCTTGTTTGTTTCAGTTTCAACTAACTCATCATAATATTTTAGTTAGACTACTTCTATTATCAATAATTTCAACATTTCATCATTTTCATTTCATTTGTTCTATCATGAATTTCAAACTTGTTTGAACAGGTATTATATATTATCAGCTCACCAGATTGTCGTTTGGGCTATATAATGCTTCCTCCACCTGGCAGCGTTCAATGACAACTTGAGTCATGCTTTCGAGCCGCTTTACTGTATTTACTGAGATGGACATTATTATCAGTACCTTAGTTTTGATGGCATCTAGAGGTTTGAATTGTGTTGGCCTGATGGTGAATCAAAATAAGTAATTAGGAGTTGTTATGGACTATAGAAAATTTTCCGAAGCTAACAAAGTTCTCCTTCCATGATATTGACATATTGTTCTCAATTAATAAGAGTTTCATCTCACTTAATCACTTCCTATATTCTCTTGCTGTAGCTTAGTTGGAAAAAATATTTGGTTTGAAGGAATTGACTGAGAACTGCAATTCCTGTTCATACATAAGTATAAAACTGATACTATCATTATAAATTGGTTAAGGCTTTCGCAGGCGAGATATTCAGTGTTACTATCTTCATTCGGATTTGAAGGCCGTGGTAGTTTGAAACTGCATCCTACCGTTTCGCCAGCACGAGTGGATGGCTTCTGCAGAGTTGTATTCATCTTCATGATTCATCAATGTCTGGTGATTTGTAGTTCGTAGGTTGTATTTATGTTGCCCCAGGTAGTCCGTCTCTCTTGTTGATGCGTTGCTATTAGCCGAAGTGTTATTGAGTGTTATTACCTGTTAATGACGTAACATTGCATTACGCAATGCAGGATGCAGTTCCAAACTACGACGGCCTTCAAACCCGAATGAAGATTGGTTTGCTTTCCTCGTTAAGTTCATTGATTTCAAAGATTACAAAAAATGGTTATTATAAATTCATTTTAAATATCCGGAATCAGCTATTAAGTACCAGAAAGAGGATATTCGAGTTGTATTAGAAAAAAAGGATCTTGGAAACGAAACCCTGTATGTTATTGAGCCAACTTTATGATGGCAACGGAACGGGGATGTTGGTCTAACGATAGAGTACCCCAATATAGTATTGCATGCTATCTCGAAAGATGATTCTGTTTAGCCAGGAGAAGATCCTCCATCGCCTGATGCAGGTGACAGTGATGCAGCTGACAGGGAAGATAGTTATAGTGAAGTATCACAGGAGTATTTAGAATTATTATTAGTACCGAGTTCAACTAATGATAATATTGAAGTTGTCAGACAGCTATACCAGGCTATGATGCTCTGTCAGGAGCATAGATGTGGATGATGACAGCACAAATGAAGATGACAATCTCCACGCTGAAGCTGAACTGAATGAGACGAATGAAATTATGGAAAGAGGTGGAGGTGATGCTGATGTAGATATTTTGATATACATGGAGGTATTTTCCACTCTATCTGTTCCTTAAAAGTGACCCTAAGAGTATTACTGTACAAAACAGAAGCAGGAGAGGAAGGTGGTCCTCTGGGAATTTTTTTATTTATTTCGAACCGAGGTGGCTCTATTGGATCAACCTGAGTCTCTACAAGTCTAAATCACCCTCTGCTTAGCTTCAAAATTGAATGCTGCACCTTGCTGGGAGGGAGCATATCTTATGGATTCTGCAGGGCTTTGTTTCTTGGCCGCTCTCACAGGCATAGCTGCTGCTATTTCGGAATTAGTTATCTTCATGAGAGCTTGTTTTGTTCGTTCAGTGATTTCATTAATTTCCTCTTGTCCAGGCTTTCGCAGCTTGGATCATTCTCCGAAACCATTTCAACTGGTAGTAAATCTTTAGAATGACCCTGTCGAGCCGAAATATCATATTTCACTTTTCCGTCAGCACCCAACTGAACAGCCAAGGCATTTGAATCAGAATCTGCTTTTCGACACATATCCAAAGGGAACTGAGCAACATGTATTTCAGGAAAAGGCGCGCCGTTCCCATAGTCAGTACTATTCCTAGGAACCCATCCTTTTCTTTGACCATCAGGAGAAGCGATACTGTGAACACTAGAGTAGTAGCAGGTTTCAATGTAGCCTTTTTTCGACGTTCATCATCATGGTCCCAAATGGGTTAGACTGGAGCTGGCAAGATACTTGAGAGTTCCATGTTCAAAAAAATGATCAGTTCAATAATAGAATACAGCCACGACCGTTGCACGAAGGCTTTGGATTTTAAATTCGACTTGAAGATTGATTCGACTTTGGTATTGTCGGAAACATAGTCCCCAACAGAGAAGCAATACAAGATATTCGCCGTCGTTTACCACGAAGGCAAAAATGCCAACATTGGACAATACGTGACCGATGCCTTCCACGTCGGCTACAACTGCTAGATTAGGTACGAAGATTCTTCCGTCAAGACCGTGCAAGAAGAAGACGTATTGAAATCCCAGGCAACGCGAGTTCCTTATTTGCTTTTCTACAGGAAAGTCGATATGATCCTATCTAAATAAGGTTCCTGCTTTAACGTAGAGTTCAGCGTCTGGAATCTTACGGAATTTCTCTTTTTAGTTTTATTAATTTTGATATTTTTTTGGTTTTGATGAATTTTTTTATCCTTTCATTAGTTATAGTTATACAGGGTGTCCCTGGACTTCCTCTTTTCCTCTCGGGAATGTATAGATGGGGTCAAAATATCACCAGTACTTCATATAACTTTTTTTCCTAAAATCCTTCGTTACCAAGTAACGGGCCCTCGAAGTTACAAAATGAAAAATGTTTTTCTTTGATAACTTTTCAAGTGAATATTCAAAATCATCCAAAT